TTTAAGTTTTGGGGTACATGGGCAGATCTTGCAAGATTGTTGCATTGGTAGACACATGGCATGGTGGTTTGCTGTCTTCATCCTCCCATCACCTAAATCAGGCACTTCTCTCAGTGTTATCCCTCCTCAACCTCCCCGCCCCCTGCTGTCTCTCCCTTAGCCCCCCACCCCCCAACAGACCCCAGTATATGATGTACACCTCCCTGTGCCCATGTGTTCTCATTGTTCATCACCCACCTATGAGTGAGAACATGCAGTGTTTGGTTTTCTGAGTTTGTTTTTGTATATGGTATAAGATAAGGGTCTAATTTTGTTCTTTTGCCTGTGAATATCCAGTGTTCTCAACATTAGTTATTGAAGAGATTATCCTTTCACTGTTGTGTGCTCTTGGCACTCTTGTGAAGATTAATTGACTATAAATGCACAGATTTATTTCTGGGCTCTCTATTCTGTTGCATTAATCTATATATCTGTTTTTATGCTAGTACCACCTCATTTAGATTATTGTAGCTTTGAAATATCTTTTGAAATCAGGAAGTGTGATGTCTCCAGCTTTATTGTTCTTTCTCAAGATTGCTTTCACTGTGGGTGACATGGCAAAACTCCATCTCTACATACACACAAAAAAATACAAAAATTAGCCGGTTGTGGTAATGTGCATCTGTAGTCTCAGCTCTTCAGGGGGATGTGGCAGAAGGATCACTTGAGCCTCAAGGGTCAAGGCTGGAGTGAGCCGTGATTGCACCACTGCACTCCAACCTGGGTGACAGAACAAGACCCTGTCTTAAAAAAAAAAATCCCAAACAAACAAGATTGTTTTGGCTATTTAAGTTTCATATGAATTTTAGAATTGTTTTCTCAATATGCGTGTAGGGAGTGCCATTTGAAATTTGTTACAGATTGCCTTGAATCTGTAGATCATTTTGGGTAATATAGACAGTTTCATTATATTCCTCTAATTCACAAACATGGGATGTCCTTCCATGTATCTAATCATCTTTAATTTCCTTCATCGGTATTTTGTAATTTTGAGTGTACAAGTTTTTCTCCTCTTTGGTTAAGTTTATTCCTATGTATTTTATTATTTTTGTTGCTATCATAAATGGAAATGTTTGCTTATTTCCTTTTTGGATAATTTATTGTTAGTGTATAGGAACACTGCTGAATTTTGTATGTTGATTTTGTACCCTGCAGCTTTATTGAATTTTTAAATTAGTTCTAGCAGATTTTTTATTGAGTCTTTAGAGTTTTCTACATGTGTAAATAATCTTTTTTTTTTTTTTTTTTTTTTTTTTTTTTTTTTGAGACAGGTCTCACTCTGTCACCCAGGCTGGAGTGCAGTGGCACAATCTCCACTCACTGCAACCTCTGCCTCCGGGGTTCAAGCAATTCTCTTGCCTCAGCTTCCCTAGTAGCTGGGATTACGGGCACCCGCCACCATGCCCGGCTAGTTTTTGTATTTTTAGTAGAGACAGGTTTCAGTATGTTGGCCAGGCTGGTCTCGAACTCCTGACCTCAAGTGATCCACCCGCCTCGGCCTCCCAAAGTGCTGGAATTACAGGTGTGAGTCACTATGACTGGCCATGTGTAAATAATCTTGTCATTTGCAGAGATAATTTTACTCCTTTCTCTTCAACTTGGATGCCTTTTATTTCTTTCTTCTGTCTAGTTGTTTTGTTTAGGCTTTCCAGTATTATGTTGATAATAGTGGTAAGAGTGGGCATCCCTTCCTTGTATCAGATCTTAGAGAAAAAGCTTTCAGTTTTTCTCCATTGATTATGAAGTTAGCTGTTACGTTTACATATATGGCTTTTACTGTGTTGAGGTATGTTCTTTCTATACCTATATTGTTGAAAGTTTTTTTTTTTTTTAATCATGAAAAGATGTCAAATTGTGTCAAATGCTTTTTCTGTTATCTATTAAGGCGATCATGTGGTTTTTACCTGTCATTGTGTTAATGTAGTATATATGGCATTAATTGATTTGCATATGCTGAACCATTCTTGCATTCCAGAGATAAATCCCACCTGTTCATGGTGTATGATCTTTTAAATATGCTGTTGAATTTGGTTTGCTGGTATTACATTGAGGATTTTTGTGGCTATGTTCATCAGTGGTATTGGCCTATGGTTTTCTTTTCTTGTGGTATTTTTGTCTGGCTTTCATATTCGGGTGATGCTGAGCTCTAAAGTGTGTATGAAAGTGTTCCCTATTCTTCTGTTTTTTGAAGAGTTTAAGAGGGATTGGTATTAGTTCTTGGAATGTTTTTTAGAAAAAGCCATGATCCTGGGCTTTTCTTTGTTAGGAGGTATTTGATTACTGATTCAATGTTATTTCCTTTCAGATTTTTATTTCTTCTTGATTTAGTTTGGGTAGGTATGTTACTAGGGATTTTCTATTTCTTCTAGATTATCCAATTTGTTGGTGTATAATTGTTCATAAATTGTCCCTTATAACCTTTTAATTTCTGAGTCATCCATTGTAATGTCTTTTTCCTTATGTCTTTTTTTCTTAGTTTAGCTGAGGATTTGTTGATTTTATCTTTCCAAAAAATCAACTCATGGTTTTTAAAATTTTTTCCTATTGTGTTTCTATTTGCTATTTATTTCTGCTCTAATCTTTACTATTTCCTTTTCTTTGCTAACTTTGAGCCTAGTTTGGTTTGTTCCTCCTAGTCTCTTAAGGTATAAATTCAGTCTGTTTATTTGAGATCTTTCTCCTTTAATGTATCCATTTATCACTATAAATCTGTCTTGTAACATAGCTTTTACTGCATCCCATACATGTTAGTACATTGTATTTAGATTTTTATTTGTCCCAAGATATTTCTTGAATTTCCCTTTGATTTATTCTTTGACCCAAGCTTTATTAGAGTGTTGTTTTCCCATATTTGTAATTTTTTTCATTTTCTTACTGTTCTTGATTTCTAGTTTCATTCCATTGTGGTTAGAAAAGATATTTGGTATGATTTCCGTATTTTTTACATTTATTAATACTTGATTTGTTACTTAATATATGATCTATCCTGGAAAACGTTTTGTGTGCACTTCAGAAGAATGTATATTCCTCTGTTTGGATGAAAAGTTATATATTTGTCTGTTAGTTCCAGGTTGTCCATAGTGTTGTTCAAGCTGCTTTTTTTTTTTAAATTGATTTTCTGCCCAGATGTCCTATCCATTATTGAAAGCAGGGTATCAAAGTCTCCTACTGTTATTGTATTACTTCATTTCTCTCTTTAGATCAATATTTGCTTATCTAGGTACTCTGATGTTGGGTGTGTATGTATTTATAATTATATCTTCTTGTTCAGTTGGCCCTTTTATCATTATATAATGATCATTTTGTGTCTAGTTGCAGTTTTTAACCTATAGTCTGTTTTGTCTGGCATCAGTATAGCCATCCTTGCTCTCTTTTGGTTAAAATATGCATGGAATATCTTTTTCTATTGCTTTACTTTCAGTCCTATGTGTGTCTTTAAATCTGAAGCGAGTCTCTTATAGACAACATACAGTTGGATCTTGTTTTTAAATCCATTCAGTTATTCTATGTCTTTTGATTGGGGAGATTAGTCTATTTGCATTTAAAGTAACTATCAATAGGTAAAGGCTTACTTATTGCCAGTTTGGTAATTGTTTCTGATCTGTTTTGTTGCTCTGTATTAATTTCTCCTCTCTTTCTGTCTTCCCTTGTGATTTCATTATGTCTTGGGCTTGCATAAAGCATCTAATAGTTAAAACTGTCTATTTCAAGCTGATACTAACTTCAGTCTCATACAAAAATGCTATTCCCCCCAACCTTTGTGTTCTTGAAGTCAATGTTTAATTCTCTTTATAGTGTGTATCTGTTAACAATTTTTCATGGTTATAATTATTTTTACTATTTTTGTCTTTTAGCTTTTATATTAAAAATGAGATATTAGGCAGACTTATAAAACAAAGTACAGTTATTTTATTTCACATAAACTATGATGTGCAAAATTGTAAATGCCAACACATCTGAGAAAATCATTAACAGTCCTTTTAGCAATTTACATATGAAGATGTTTTTTAAAGTGCCACAGCTTAAGGCATTATATTTTAAAGTTTAATAAACATCTAATTTCAACATCTCACAAAGAACAGACTTCTTCTCAAGTAAGCTCTAAACTCTTTGGTTAGGAATACTGAAAATGCATCTATAATTTAAGGGGTAATATATTTGTTAATGCTTAGTTATGAGTGCAATTCAAAAGCATATGAATTCCATATCAAGAACAAACTGTCCTGCTTAAGGTACAGTGTAATCCACACTGTATCATCTCATCTAAAAGTCTATACAGCAGCCACTCCATCCACTCAGTTCCTTGCAATTAGTCTATTAGCTTTTCTTTTGCAAGAAGCAAAATTCCTAAGATACCAAAAGATTAGTCTGTATTTCATTTATCTATATTGAAGATGTTTAATAATATTTCTAAAAGGACAAGAGCAGTATGGTGGATAATGTAAACAATGTAGAGTCAAAAATCAGTCAATACTTTTATTGATAATTTTAAAATAATTTTTTTCTTCTTTCTCTGATTATGTTTTGATTAAGCTGATATTATTTTCATTTTTTGAGCTTGCAAAAATCTGCCTAGGAATGTGCCAAATGAAAGGAAAAATCTAGCCTCAAGTTCACAGTTGCCCTGGAATGCCATTCACAGACTAAGATCTAACTACACAGAGTGTGGCTAATGGCAGATGAAATCAGAGGTTAGGGAGATCTGGTGTCTCCATTTATCTGGAAAATGGAGCAAAGTGGGTGATCAGTCACAGGAGGCTGGTCAAACAGAAGTGTTTAAGTTCAGGGTTTCATCTTACGTTTAATTCTCAAAGTAACAACCACTCTGGATCTTCTCTCAATCTCTTCTCTATCAATCAGTAGGAACAGCAGTAGCTGCTGCTCTCCTTTAGGAAAAGTGAATGAGAGGCCCCTGGATGCGGCCTAGTCTCCAGGTGCTGGGAGCTTACATTCTGTTATATAAAAACAACTAAGGCATCATTCCAAGTTTGTTTAAAATGGTTGTTTTAAATGATAAACACAAAAGTCCAGTTATTTTTTAAAAACTGGGTTTAGTGGATATTAACAAATAACATGCCCTGACTTTTTATCACCTTTTAGCAAAAACTAAAATCTTGAACAAAAAGACAATAACAAAAATACTACCTGTAATAATTCAAATAAGGTAGGATTTTTCTCTTAAGTACACTTCTTAAAAGTCATTCACAAGATGACTGGGCATCCACCAAGACCAAGGCACTGTAAGGTAGTCAAACAGCACATCTTCACCTCAAGGAGCTCAGCATGGGATGAAGATGGACATATACAACTCCAGCATGAGGTCAAGGGGGTAGTCTGCTATGGGATCAAGTGGTGGCAGAGTTGAGAAGTGGTTCTGAAAGCGTTCTTTAGTCACAGAGACCAGTAGGTTTGACATGCAGTCATGTAACTTTTTAACTTTTTGCCTTACCTTCTCTAAGCCTCAGCTTCATCAGCTACAGAATGCCACCCTCTTAGTAGAATTTCTGTAAGAATTACAGAAACATACAAGTAAAGCATTAAGTGGAGAGCCAGCATGAGGAAAGGTTCAGGAATATGGCTGTTCATATTACTGCTATGCTTACTTCTGTACATGGAGCACTGTGGGAGAATAAAAGAAAGGAGTGGCCATTCTTCGGAGCATGTTCTCGTTGGGGGAAATCCTGGCATCTTGAGCAGGATAATTCTTCACTGTATAGGACTACCTTGACATTTAGCATCTGGTGCCATGGCAGCAGAAGGCCAGTAACACCCGCTTCATTATAACCAAGAAACACACCCACACATTTCCAAACACCCTCTGAAGGGGTTACCACCTCTGCTGAAAATTGCTCTTCCAGAGGGGCCTTCTACATTTAGAAACAATTTAAGTTTTCTTAAGAAAAAGAATAAGAATGTCTTCCTTTCTTTGAGAGTATATTCAAGGATCAGATACATTGGGCCTGGTGGCAGGGAGGCTAGGACAGGAATGTTCAGTATAGTTTGAAAGCAGAATCCTTTCCTGATGAGTCCCAGTATCAAAATCCCCAAGCTCACCATTCAGGCCTTAAGTCAAAAGGTAGAGCTGCATCTTTGCAAATAACTCAGCAGAAAGGAATTCTGCCATGAAGCTACTTATTTAGCAAGACTCGCTTCCTGTAGTTGAAGTAGAAGGTAGACATATAAATTTAGACAATGATCCTACATGGGATTTTTAAAAATCATAATTTCTTTTTCCTCAATATACACAACAGGGTCTACTTCATCCCATATCTACAAAAAGTAAAAACTAAAATCATAAAAAGATAATAACAGAACAAGTCCAAAGAAGCTGGCATAGAATCTGTGCTGAGAAAAGTTCTCCCCCAGTATAACCTAAATCCACACTCATCTATGACAAAGCATTCCAGGCTGAACACCACTTTCATGTTGTCAGAGGTCTTTAAAAGCCAGCAGGTAGATCTTCTTCTCCTGAATTTCTTCTCCAGAACGAAACAGCATTTTAGAGATATCAGAAAAGATGTAAGGCATTTCACCATCATTAGTGCTGAGAGGTAGAGAGAAGCCAATTTTTATTACTCTCATTTTACATATGGGATGTCTGAGGCACTGAGAAATGAGAAATTGGTCCATCAGTGGAAGCCACTGCAAATAAAATCCAGATCTCCTGTTTCCTAGGTACTTCAGTTTCTATCCCCCAAATCACAGACCTGCATTACTAAATGGCTCAAGTATCCTGCTGAGGAATCCTCCAAGATGAAAGCTCCCAGTGTGCTCTACTCTCTTCCGATCGCTCCAATCTGGGCCTAACCTGGATCTACTGAGATGCTGGATTGACTGTCTCTTGCAGTAAGAAGAATCTGCTTAGAAGGATATGTATTTATATATCTTTTTAACCATCTCTTCTTGGAGATGCTCTTCATCTCCTTGAAATGGTTATATTAAATGGATGTGGGGCTAAAGTTAGACCAAATCTTCCGGTCAGGAGGGGCTTCTTAGAATCCTTAGGTAAAGCAAATGTGAAACTCTGCATTAGGCTCACAAACATCAGGAATAATTCCATCTTTGCCAGTTGTTCTCCCATACACACCCGCTTCCCTAAAAATGAGATCAGAAAAAAAATTAAGGATTATAGTAACATCCCTTCTCCTATTTAAAAAAGTACAAATTTATATGAAATATCTAAATTGAGTATTTTAAATGCAGATAGAGTTTTTAAATCAAATTACCATATATACCACATAGCTTCCTACAACATATGCTGATCAGAATTTTTACATATCAAATCCACATTTTAACTCCTACTCATAAAAACCTATCCTCATCCTAGACAGGAATTAGAGACAGATCCAATGTGGCAGCTACCCTGTCTCTTCCATGCCAACTTATCTCTTTCCTTCACTTTTCCCTGAAAGATAAAGGCAAAAAAATTCAGATAAGAATCCCTAGATTTTTTCCATAGAAAGAATCCGATGTTCCTAATCTAGGAACCTAAAAGAGGAACTGCCGAGATTGGAGAGCCCATCCTCTCATCCACCAGACCAGATCAGAAATTGCTTTTAACCTCAGTAGCTCCCTGGGACCCCCCAAAATCACCTGATCAGCTCTGAAAGTAAGATTTCCAGTCACATTTAGAGATTTAAAACCAATTGCTTTATTAAAATCTGAAATGAACATAGTGTAGATGCCTTATTTAAATTATTGATCCCTTCTTTTATATTAGCTTGCCAAGAAAGAAACATTTTTAAAACAACATGAAATAAAAAAATACTATTTTAGTTCCACTTATTTTAAAAATTATACTATTTTAAAGAAGTATAACTGACCTATCCCAAAAGGAATAAAAGTTTCTTTTTTAATTAGTTGTCCTTGGTCATCCAGAAATCGATTAGGGTAGAAATCCTCTGGTTTCTCCCAAATGGCTGGGTCTCTGTGTACTGACCACAGGTTGGGTAAGATTAATGTGCCTTTAGGAATGGTATACCCTTGGAGCACTAAAACAAAAGAAAACAAATGGGTGTTATTCAGTATGCTTTTACTAGTAGTTCTCCCTAAACATCATTTTCTGAAAAAAAAAAAAAAAAAAAAAAAAAAAAAAAGTAGTTACATACCTAGCCCCTTAATTGGCTGAGGCCAAACTGTGAGGTACTTGAGAGCAGGGATAAGATCTTACCAACTGGCATCCCTCTCCTCACACCATCCCAGGACTCACCTGAGACAGGGAGCAGTCAGTGCTCCAATGAATGCTGAGTTAATAAATTAAATAAAACCATAAAAACATTATAGTAAAGAGAAAACACTAAGACAGAAACAACAGGGCATTCCAAGTAAACTTTCTCTAAAAATTAAAATTCCTAATATATATAAAACTTAGTTTATAGGGTCACTTATGTCCATACAACAATGTGATTAGGACGTAAACCAAGATAAAGAGATGTACAGGGAAGCCAACCCTGGCTCTTACCAGCTGACAAGTCAATATGCACTTTAAACAATGCCCAAAAGATGCTGTACACACAGTCTATATAACTTGCACCAAAAAAACCTGTTACATGATCCAGTGTCATTTATAAGCAACGGCATGCTATACCTGTCTTAAATCTAGATCAAGCCCATTATATTATGGGCTATCTCCAGAGGTAAATTCCTTGTTAATAGGGATGTTTAAAGAGAGTCTGGACATGATTAAATAGACATATTTCACTGTAGGTGAGAGGTTAAAACTGGTGACTTTAGAATAAGATGGGCTATTCTAATTCTTTTTTTTTTTTGGAGGGGGGGGACAGGGTCTCATTCTGTCACCCAAGCTGAAGTGCAGTGGCACAATCTTTGTTCACTGCAACCTCCGCCTTCCAGGTTCAACTGATTCTCCTGCCTTAGCCTACTGGGTAGCTGGGACTATAGGAGTATGCAGCTGCATCCGACTAATTTTTGTATTTTTAGTAGAGATGAGTTTTCACCAAGTTGGCTAGGCTGGTCTTGAAATCCTGGCCTCAAGTGATCCACCCTCCTGGGCCTCCCAAAGTGCTGGGATTACAGGTGTGAGCCACTGTGCCTGGCTTTTTTTTTTTTTTTTTTTTTTTTTTTTTTTTTTTTTTTTTTTTTTGAGACAGAGTCTTGCTCTGTCACCCAGGCTGGAGTGCAATGGTACACTCTCAGCTCACTGGAACCTCCCAGGTCCAAGTGATTCTCCTGCCTCAGCCTCCTGAATAGCTGGGACTACAGGTATGCACCACCATGCCTGGCAAATTTCTGTATTTCTAGTAGGGACGGGTCTTGTCCAGGCTGGTCTTGAACTCATGACCTCAAGAGATCTGTCTGCCTGCCTTGGCCTCCCAAAATGCTGGGATTACAAGTGTGAGCCACCATGCCCAGCCTTCTAATTCTTTAATATTATGCTTCAGCTGCAGAATTTTAAAAGTTGAAGTAAGATAACTTTCAGGCAAAATCCTTAACTCCACATTTAGACTAGCTCTTCTGACCTCCATGAAAAGGAGCCTTTGTCAATTCTGGAGCTTTTTCTGCCAACATAGCCAATTTAAATTGTGGCATTATTTATTTTGCCAGTATAAGTGTGTATGCTCTGAAGGCTAGAGAGCTACTACTAATACTAAGCAGTGGTGGAATTCTAGTGCAACAGTAATGCACAGCAGAGGGCTGGACATTCCCTAGACATTTTATTGTCTATGATACAATGGTAAATCTTCAGAAGGATCAAGCTAGGCAACAGTCACCACACCCCTCACCTCAACCACCCTGGATTAGAGGGCCCTGCTTCCATCAAGGGTATTCAAAGAGGAAGACCCTGGACTTGCCTGTGTTCTCTGAGGTCATATGAGGAATGGCGAGCGGCACCACCACAGTTAGCCTCTGCACTTCCATGATGGTGGCTTCTGTATAGGGCATCTGGGCTTTGTCCATGAGAGAAGGAGCTCGGTTGGTGCCAATGACCCTTTCAATTTCTTCATGAACCTTCTCTATGTAAAAAGGGAAGAATAAATCAGAAGATAAGCATGGGAGAGAGTTGAACCTGCCTTCTTCTGCATACTTTCCATCACCACTAACATATAACTGATCAGTTGGCAGTTCAGGCCTGACTCTTCCTCAGTGAAGCTGAAGCATTGGTCAGAAATTTCAAGTAGAGACAGCTAGCCCCAGGGTGCCTGTGCCACCCTGTGACTTAGAAGTGGGACAGTAGAACAGATAGAGGGGCCAAAGAGAAAGCACTCTGGATTCAGGAGCATCCTAAGTCATACTCTCATATGAACATGGGATTGCTCTCCGAGTAAACTGTGACCCCGTATGATAGCCTATGGTGGCCTCCAATGATCCCCATTCTTGTGGTTTATATCCTTGTGCAGTCCCCTCCCACTCTGTACTAAGTTGGTCTATGTGACCAAGAGAATAAGAGAGAAGTGAGGGCATGTCACTTCTGAGACTAGATTATAAAAGATAGTGTGGCTCCTCATCTTTGCCTCACTCTCTCTCTCTCTCTCTCAGGTTGCTCACTTTTAGGGAAGGAAGCCACTAAGTGAAGCAGTCTTATGAAAGGGTCAGAGTGGTAAGGAACTTGGCCAACAGTCATATGGATAGCCACCTTGGATGTGGATCCTTTGGTCTCAGTCAGGTCTGCAGCCCCAGACAATGTCTTAACTCTAACTTCATGAGAAACCCTAAACTGGAAGTCATTCCTGGATTCCTGATCCTCAGAAAATGGGAGATAATATATGGTGGTGGTTTTTTTTTTAAAGCTGGCAAATTTTGGGGTAGTTGTTACTCAGCAATAATTAATTCAGGCAGGTATAATCACATGTATAGTAGGCAGACTAATGGTCCATATAGGATGTCCACACCCTAATCCCCTGGAGCCTGTAAATATGATACCTTACATGGCAAAAGGGACTAAACTGATATAATTAACTTAAGGACATAGAGAGGGGAAGATTATCCTGGGTCATCTGGGTGTGCCCAATCTAAGAACATGGGTTTTTCAGTCAGATAACCTTTGCCCGTTGAGTTCAGAGTCAGAGGAAGATGTGACTATGAACAAATGGTTACAGAAATGCCACACTGCTGTCTTCAAAGACAGAAGAAGGAAGCCATGAGCTGTGGAAGCCAGAAACAGCAAGGAAAATGATTCTTCTTTAGTGCCTCCAGAAAGGAATGCAGCCCTGTCAACAACCTGATTGTCAGCCCAATGAGACACATAACAGACTTCCAATGTGTAGAACTCTAAGAAACTTGTGTTGTTTTAAGCCACTCAATTTGTGGTAATTTGTTATGACAGCAACAGAAACTAATATACACCATACTCCTTGTATTCTTCTACTCTGAACTGCCACTGACTTTCAGGATCTATTGGGACTGAGGTGGTAGAACTAGTTGTGTGACCCTGTGAAAGTCACACAACTTCTCTGAGCCTCTATTCTCCGGTTTCTCACACACACACACACACACACACACACAAAGACGTGTTCAGATGAACATTATGATTCCTTCAACTCTAGAATGTCCTTCTCTAAAGGTCTTTCACAATCATAGATTTCACAAAGAATCAGACCTGTAGAGATTTAAGCAGGGGTAAGCAAGTTATGACATTAGGTCTACTGTCTAGAAACTTGGGTTTCACTGTTAACATCTTACCAACTCCCTATGAGTTGCAAGTATTTTGTTTCCAGCCTGAAGACATTGCTCAGTGTTAGGAGCCACCAGATCACTGAGGTTGCCAATCCTGATTTAAATTACCTGGTTTTGCCATGAACAAAGGAAACACCTATTAATTACCTTGTACTTCGGGGTTCAGCGACATATACAGCAGGCACCAAAGCAAAGAGTTCGTTGTGGTATCAGTCCCAGCAATAAAGAGATCCCCAATGATATAAAATAAGTACTCTTCATCAAAACTGCTATTACTATTATTTTTCCTCTCCTCTTCCATGTGGAGAAGGTACATGTCTATGAAATCCTGAGGGTTCTCTTTATCCAGAGACTCTTGATGATCTTTGATGATTTTTTTAAGGAAACTGGTTATATCCTTTTCAATTTGTCTTAATTCCTTAAATGGTCCAAAGGGAAGGTAATAAAGCCAAGGGCATATGTTGACCAGGAGAACTTGACTGTTCAGACAGATTTCTAGCCCTCGTGACATAAAATCAAGCATTTTCTTAAACTCACTATTGGTGTAATCAAAGCGCTGGCCAAAGCACAAGGAGCAAATGATGTTAGAGACGGCATTGCTGATGATGGAGAAAGGGCAGAAGGGGTCTTCTCCGTGCTTTTGCATTTCCGCTTTCACATATTTGAACTCCTCAATAATTTTGGGCTCCAAGCTAAGTTTTCCCAACCCAAAATGACGAAGAGTTGAATGAGAGAACTTCCTTTGTTGTCTCCAGACGGGACCATAATGTGCAAACACAACCCCTGCAAAGGGACACCAAGAAACGAAGATGAGAAACAGCATTCCTGATAACACTGAACAGGACGTACCATGGAGTGGATTCTGTATTTTTCAAGTCACTTACGGAAAACTCCTCATATACAGCTAAAGACCACTAGTCAAGAAGAATGATTGGCAAAATGTAGTTATCCAGATAGTATGTGTTTCTAATAATAACAAAAATCCTATCTAATTAAATTAGGAGAATTTGCTCTAAAGATTATTATAGACAGTAACTCCTGGTGAAATGAAAAGCAATGAGTTTCAATTTCCAAAGTTAGTGTGCATTTCAAAGTATTAGATTTCATAAGACTTAATCCAGGCTTAGAAAATTTCTCAGGTGGCCAGGTGCAGTGGTTCATGCCTATAATCTTTGAGCTTTGGGAAGCTGAGGTGGGAGGACTGCTTGGGGCCAGGAGTTCAAGACCAGTTTGGGCACAGAGCAAGAGCCCATCTCAAATAAATAAATAGCAAGCCGGGTGAGGTGGCGTGCATCTGTAAGCCCAGGCACTCAAGAGGCTAAGGTGGGAGAATCACTTTAGCCCAGGGGTTGGAGGCTACAGTCAACTATGATCATGCCACTGCACTCCAGCCTGGGTGATAGGACAAGACCCTGCCTCTAAAAAAAGAAAAAAAGACAGAAAAATATTTCAGGCTATATATCCCCATATTCTAAACACTTATAAACATTCTGAACTGAAGAATAATTATAGCAACAGATTAACATGAGGGCAAAGACCATATCTCATGCTCACTGTTAAAATCCAGCTTCTAGCATAGTGCCTGGTACATAAGAGGAGGCTGTTAAATATTGGCTGACTAAATAAATAGCCCAACTAGATTAGAACTATTGGGCATCAAAATTTGGAATCCAATAAACTAGCAGGTGATCTAAAATGGCTGTTATTGGCAGCAGCCCTGATTTGAAAACATATGAACTTGTTAAGGTCATCCACATCTTGTGGTCAACTACATCTTATTTGATTTTCACTTATATATCCCACCATCAAACTCCACAAAATTGCTCCCGAATGTTGTATCAAATTGTTCTCAAATATTCTTTGTTTTCTGTCACATATTTCATCCTGTTTTCCATCATATACTCTATCATTTCAGCTAGTTCTCCTTCCTTCCTACATTATTTCTGAATTCTTACTATGTGCCAGGCATAGGTGTTCAGTAGATACAGCTGCAAATGAAATAAAGACCCTGCTCTGTGGTCAAATTTTCTCATATTCTTTAATATTCCTATAAAATGTCTTTCAATATAAACATCCATGCAGTCAAATGTATCACACAATTTTTGGAATCTTCCAAATGCCTGCTCAAATCTGCAGTGGTTGCTCTGTAGGCCTTTGGTTCATGTTTTGTAACTTCTATTAGTTATCATTTAGGAATTTTCTTAGACTCTTCTGTGTCGGAGCTGGGAGGGGTGGCTCATACCTGTAATCCCAGCACTTTTCGGGGCTGAGGCAGGCAGATCACCAGGTCGGCAGTTCGAGACTCCTGAAACCTAATATCTCCTAAAAATACAAAAATTAGCTCGGCGGGGTGGTGTGCGCCTGTAATTCCAGCTACTCATGGGGCTGAGGCAGAAGAATTGCATGAACCCAGGAGGCAGAGGCTGCAGTGAACTGAGATCATGCCACTTTACTCCAGCCTGGGCAACAAAGCAAGACTCTGTTTAAAAAAAAAAAAAAAAAAAAAAAAAAAAGACTCTTCTGTGTTGGAACCCATATCCTGAATTATATTTCTTCTTCTTCGTTTTACTCCCTCATTTTGCTGAAGCATACCCTCTGAGAAAGGATGCATGGGGGGAGGAGTAATTTCTAAAGACTTTGCATTGTTATTTATTTTACCATTCTGGACTTCCTCAGAATTTAAAAGACATTGCTAAGACCGGACTGACTGATGAGTCATAAGATAGGTACATATTAGTATGACTCAACATTGCAGATTACTCTCTTAAGTGCAGAGTACTCTGAAAGTTTATTCACTGAAGTGTTTAAATGTTCTCATTTGTTCAGAATAGTTGCCATCACTTGATACTTGTCAATGTTTTTAGTTTTGTCAATCAGAAGGCTGAAACCTATCTCATCTGATTTTTATTTGCATTTCTCTGTTACCAGTGGGTCAGAGCAGCTTCTTATATGATTATTTGCCAGGTTTCCTATTCTGTGATTTGCCTTTGTCTACTGTGCAATTTTCTTTTTCTTATATATTTGACATCCTAGCAGATCTTTTCTCTTTTCATCTGATTTTTTTTTTTTGCTTTTTAAATTGTATTATTTAATAAACAGAAGTTTTAAATATAGTGGCATCTGTCAATCATTTTGATTTGTGCTGCATGTCTTATTTTAGAAATCTCCTCCTACCATGGGTTCATAAACACATTCTCTATTTTCTTGCACATATTTAAATTTTGTTTTCACATTTAAGTTTTTATAATCTACCCGGAATTTATATTTGTGTTAGGCACACCTACCTATTGTGAGGTAGGAATCCAAGCATTTTTTCCCCAGGTAGACAACCTATTGTTTAAGCATGATTTGTCAAACAGTCCCACTCTACCTTACCCTTCACCATTCAATCTGTAATGCTACTCTGACACACATTTCCTATATATAGGTGGGCCAGTTCACAGGCTTTCTAGTTGGTTATATTGGTCTATGTGTTTATCACTGTGATTAAAGCACATTGTCTTAATTTCTGTTATTTTATAAGATATAGATTTTATAGTAACTTTTTATATCTAATAAGGAAGTCCCTCTTCCCTACAAAACCTCGTTCTTTTTAAAAACTGTTTCAAAAACTTCAAAATCAGTCTCTCAGACTTATCTTGGGATTTTGGTTGGAACTGCATTTAATTTCTTTTTTTTTTTTTTTCTTTTCCACAGAGGTCTGGGGGATCCACAGAGCAAGGAGGTGTTTGCTGAGGTGCAGGCAGTGGGTGGAAGAGCCTAATAGGTAGTGACTGGCAGCTAAGTTGATTCCTGGGAGGGCTCGGGTTCATCCCGAGGCCTCAGCCCCACTCTGAGCCTGTTTTTCTCCTGATGTGGCCACCAAGACCCTAGGAGAGGCATAATTTCTGCTGGCAGAACTTGGCTTGGATGCCCACTTTGTAGCTCCTATGTCTTCATTCTCAGGCAGATACACTTAATTTCTAGATTAATTTGAAAACTGCCTTCTTTATGATGATTGAACTGGTAATCTAAGAATGAATCTAAACTTCCTTGTTTTTAAGTTTCTTTTAAAAATTGCTTGCTTTGGTTTCCTAATGTAAGGTTTTTTAAATAGTATATTCATGAATGACAATGGCTTATAGGTTTTCTTTCTCATGCTGTATTTGTCTGAACATACTGGCCTCCTAAAATAAGCCAGGGTGTAGTCTCTGTCTCTGAAAGAATTTGTCTAAAATTGGAATATGTTTTTATGTTTCTCATTTCCTTTAGGTTATTCTCTTCTTTTTATAATACATAAAGTTGGCCATCTGACTCATTAATTTTCAGACCTTTATCTTAATAAATAATTTAAAGCTCTACATTTACCTCTGTCTGGCTACAACTCTAGCTGCAATCCGCAAGTCTTGTTCCATGTATTTTCATTATTTAAAGTACAACAACAACAATAACAAAACGTGCTTCTATTTTGAGTCTTCTTTGCTATCTTACCTGGTTTATCTTATGCTGATATTTGACATTTGCTTGCTTTTTTACCCTAGTATGTGGCCAATGAAATTTCTCAATAAAGTTGAGAAGAATGTTTGTCCAAGTAATTTTGAGGAATATGTCCTCTATAAATGTCCAATAGGGAAAGCTTGATAACAGTCAAAACCAAATTTTCCGTATCCTTAACAAATTTTTAACTGCTTGATCTCTCAACCAAATACTTATATTAAGCTATTTTGCTATAATGGTGGATTTGTCAGTTTCTCTTTACAGTTCTATAAGTTTTTGCTAAAGGTAGATAAATACCAGCGTAGCGACACAGATTTATATTTATCTATGCTGTTAGGTACAGATATATATTAGATGACATTGTTAGGTACATTCAATCTTGCAATTATATCTTCCTGTTTTTTCATTTTTTAAAAAATGGATGTTTTTTATCATGAATGCCCTCCTTTTTTTTTTTTTTTTTTTTACAATAAAGTATCACTTCAAGTACATTTTGTCAAAAAGGAACCAGCTTTTCTTTTTAAAGTATTTTCTTTTTTTTTTTTTTTCTTTCTTTCTTTTTTTTTTTTATTGCATTTTAGGTTTTGGGGTACATGTGATGAACATGCAAGATTGTTGCACAGGTACACACATGGCAGTGTGCTTTGCTGCCTTCCGTCCCCTCACCTGTATCTGTCATTTCTCCCCATGCTATCTCTTCCCACCTCCCCACCCCCCGCCCCTCCCCCCTTTCCCCCCAACAGACCCCAGTGTGTAGTGCTCCCCTCCCTGTGTCCATGTGTTCTCATTGTTCAACACCCGCCTATGAGCGAGAATATACGGTGTTTGATTTTCTGCTCTTGTGTCAGTTTGCTGAGAATGATGGTTTCCAGGTTCATCCATGTCCCTATAAAGGACGTGAACTCATCGTTTTTGATGGCTGCATAATATTCCATGGTGTATATGTACCACATTTTCCCTATCCAGTCTATCATCGTTGGGCATTTGGGTTGGTTCCAGGTCTTTGCTATTGTAAACAGTGCTGCAATGAACATTCGTGTGCACGTGTCCTTGTAGTAGAATGATTTATAATCCTTTGGATATATACCCAGTAATGGGATTGCTGGGTCAAATGGGATTTCTATTTTTAGGTCCTTGAGGAATCGCCACACTGTCTTCCACAATGGTTGAATTAATTTACATTCCCACCAACAGTGTAAAAGTGTTCCTATTTCTCCACATCCTCTCCAGCATCTGTTGTTTCCCGATTTTTAATGATCGCCATTCTAACTGGTGTGAGATGGTATCTCAATGTGGTTTTGATTTGT